GTGGCCCAGGAGTGCAGTGGAGGATGGCCCAAGTGCTTGGGCCCTGCACCCCATGGGAGACCAGGAGAAGTGCCTGGCCCCTGCCTTCAGATCAGCGCAGTGTGCCCGCCACAACAGCCATTGTGAGGTGAACCAATGGAAAAAGGAAGACCTTTCTCTCTGTCTCTCTCTCTCACTGTCCACTCTGCCTGTCAAAAAAAAAAATTTACAAGTGCTTTAAATTATGAAAATTTAAAATCCACACCTTTTAGCTATTTAACACTTAGGAAATGAGTGCTATAGATGAGGTGCTCTTCTAAGGGCTTCAGAAGTGCTATCTTTTTAAATCCCAACCCATTTTACAGATGGAAAAATGAAGTCATGAGGATTGTAACTGTCATGCCTAATGTTTTATAGCCTGTAAGTGACAAGGTGAAGGCTGTAATGGCAGGAATTCTGGCTCCACCATATGTTACCCTCTTGTTTGCTTCTTAACCTAAAAAGTCCGTAATCCTACTCTCTTACACATTGGTGGACTCTCCTTAAACAAGACTGGTAGTCTATGATTTTGTTGTTTGGTTAATTTTTAGTGAGACCGAACTTGTACTTCTATTCTGGAAAGAGATCTAGATCAGTAATTCAATCATAATTATTCAGTGTCACACTCTTCCCAAGTTTTTCTTCAGTGCCATTCCTTTGTGTATTTGATTTTGCATTCTAGTGGTGAAAATAATTCAGATCTTTGCAGTGAATTGCTGTGCTCTTGAAATCAGGATCTTCAGTTAAAGCATGAACAATCTGCTTGTTTCAAACCAATGGCATGGCTCTTGACTGCTAGGGCTATTGCCAAGCATGGCAGTTGCACCACTCCAGGGCTTAGATGGCGTGTTGGTGCTCCATAAGAAGCTGTGGAATACGTAGAAGAGAAGAAAGCATTTGTTTTTATGACATGAGCCCATTCTTCTGCTGTGACTTTGATTTGGAGGAGAGCTGTGGCTCTGGGGAACTAGATCAAACAAATCTCTTAGTACTGTGTAAGAAGAATAGAGCCTGTTACCACTGTGGTGCAACATCAACTGCACTGCATAATAACAGGTACTGGTGGGTGTCTTTTCCCATGCTTAGGGACTTTAGAATAGATAATGAAATTCATTACTCATTGGGGAGAAAGAGAGTAAGAGTAAAAGCAGTAAAAAAAATCCAGTCCAATTCAGGGTAATTTTGGCACATACCTTATCCCAGTTGGTGCACTTCCAAAAGAAGCAGGCACACTAAATTCAGAAGGGACAACTCAACCCTTGTTAGAGCTGTAATTCAATGCTACTCAGTTCCTTGTTTCGCTCAAGATCTCTACAAGGAGCAGTGGTGAGAAATTCATGGATCCCACCATCCTTGTAAACATCTTCTCTTTGACTTAAACACTGGGCAGATAGCTCCCTTGCTGAAGAGAGAATGGCTAGTTGTGCAGCCTGGATGGATTCTCACCACCAAAGTTGCATAAAGCTTTTGTGGCAAGTTTTCCCACATCCAAGGCTATGGAACATGATAGTACTTCAGAAAGTTCATGGAAACTATGTATTATGAAAAAAACTAGACATGCTTTCAAAAACTTTTGACACCAAAATAAATATTTTTAAATTACATTTCTCCGGCCAGCGCCGCTGCTCACTAGGCTAATCCTCCGCCTTGCGGCGCCGGCACACCAGGTTCTAGTCCCGGTCGGGGCGCTGGATTCTGTCCTGGTTGCCCTTCTTCCAGGCCAGCTCTCTGCTGTGGCCAGGGAGTGCAGTGGAGGATGGCCCAAGTGCTTGGGCCCTGCACCCCATGGGAAACCAGGAAAAGCACCTGGCTCCTGCCATCGCATCAGTGCGGTGCGCCGGCTGCAGTGCGCCGACTGCGGCGGCCATTGTAGGGTGAACCAACGGCAAAGGAAGACCTTTCTCTCTGTCTCTCTCTCTCACTGTCCACTCTGCCTGTCAAAAAAAAAATTACATTTCTCCACGATGTTTTTGAAGTATCATTGTATATCATTGCTGTTTTCATTTTAAACTTCTTATCCATAAAATTATAATATCTTGAATATTGTGCAATGATTAACAAAATCCATGGAAATATAGAAGTTCATTATCTTCCTAGAGGTTCAAGCTTAATAAATTATGTGAAGCAAATTTGCTGGCTATTGCAGCTCCTATTTTAAATGGTAAATCATTTATTAGTTGACAAATATGCCAAAGCCTGAAACAAACACGTAAAAATATGCTTTCCTACAGATGCTTACAGACTATACCTTTTGTAAAATCTGTCAAGGAAAATTTAGGATTTAGTCTTTCCATGTTTTATTAATAACCTATAACCTGGAGGATCTGATTTGCCCATTGTACTAGTTTATGTCAGATTAATTTTAGGAGTTTGTATATCAGTAAAAGATCTTCTCTGAAAGGTCTTCACATCTACAACTTCTTAGTGATGCTTAATTTTGTGTCTTAGAGGAGATAAAATTTGAAAGATAGTGAGAACCAGATTGTAGGAGGCCACCCAAAGCATGCTTATTCCATTTCTCTTTAAAATTATGATTTGCAACACCTACAGTAGTCACACTCTCACTCAGTCCTACTCAAGATGGTGAGAGGAGAAGAAAGAAGAATGTGAGGAGTTACACTGTGGACTTTCACTAAGACTGATGCAAGGCATCACACTCTCAGGCTAAGAAAACTTGTGGGAAGGAAGGGCACATAACCAAACAATAAAAATTAAGGCAGAGATTTTAAGGCCTTTTGTTTAATTTGGGACATTTCATACACACACTCTAGTAGATGATAAAGAAGAGCAATTATCCAGAATGAGCATATTATTGTGAAGTTGAAGGCCTAGAAGGGCAGTGCATCCAGTGAAAGTGTGATGTCACAGGACAAGGGTAATAGGGACCATCAGTGTCTGTGCTGAGATGGAGTGAAACATCGCTACTCAAGGACCTTGAAAGCCAACTCAAACTAAAATAAAATAAATGCTGGAATCAAACCAAACATTATGAGCCTGCATTTGCATTTTAAGCTATCAATTTGTGGTCTTTGGAATTAATCCTTGCCTGGAGAATAAGAAATTGGAAATTAAGTCTAAATATGAGTATAATAAGAATATCAGAAGTCAGGGATACTAGGCAGAAGTTTTACAAGTTACTGAGTCTCACCATAATATCTACATCTTCTGCCTCAAACTACTCATATTTCATAGCTCTTTCACTTAAGAGATTATGATGAACAACTAAACTTCTTCATTTCTCCAAGTATTGGTGAGATATGTATTTTTTTTATTTTTAATTTTTGACAGGCAGAGTGGACAGTGAGAGAGAGAGACAGAGAGAAAGTCTTCCTTTGCCGTTGGTTCACCCTCCAATGGCCACTGCAGCCGGCGTGCTGCAGCCGGCGCACTGCGCTGATCTGAAGGCAGGAGCCAGGTACTTCTCCTGGTCTCCCATGTGGTGCAGGGCCCAAGCACTTGGCCATCCTCCACTGTACTCCCTGGCCACAGCAGAGAGCTGGCCTGGAAGAGGGGCAACCGGGACAGAATCCGGCGCCCCGACCAGGACTAGAACCCGGTGTGCCGGCGCCGCAAGGCAGAGGATTAGCCTATTGAGCCGTGGCGCTGGCCGAGATATGTATTTTAATTGCTAAATCTACCCACCTTACCAGAAGGGCTTTTTCAGAGAGGATTTTTACTGGCCTTGCCCTCAGCTCACTTAAACATTTGTGACTCTTTAATGCAGAAAATGCATAGGGATTCTTTCTGTTGGCCTAATTTGTTCACATTTCATTTTATTTTTTTTTTATTCAGAAAACCATACAAATAAATACAGATTAATACTTTCAGGAGCTCACTAGCAATTATTAAAATGTTGGAGAATGTTTCTCTGACTTTACTAGCAGAAATCTTTCCAAGAAGAACTTCAAATTCAAATCCAAGCCTAAGTACTTTGCAAGATCGGAAGGGGAAATAAGCAGGGGTGGTCTGAAGAGGTTGGGGGAAGAAACTGTCAATGTCACTGACATGGTCCAGAAAACAAGTATTTTTTCCTTCCATAAGATCAGTTTAGCATCCAGATTTCATGTTGGTAACTTATGCTTCTAGGAGCAATTGAATTGCCTAAATACTTGATCTAAAGGGTGAGGAGACTCAAGTTGTATCTATGGTGCTGTGTTTTTTAGTGCTTCAGGGTTTCTGTTTTTGTTGGGGGTGGCGTGTGTTCCAGTTTCCTGACCTTGTGACTCTGTACAGTTTTGAGTGAATACATCAATCCTCTATTGAAACAATCCCCTCCCCTCCCTCTAGCATTTATATTTTTGGCGCTGTGGGAGGCTTCTCTAAGGGGAGTGCATTTCCTATTAGCTTCAGGATTTTCATGCAGTGTGACTATTCGTCTATTTTTCAAACTTGCCCATTTTCACCGCACCGTGTCCTTGATAGCTGTGCTGTTCAGTTCTATTAGAGAATGACCTAGCTTCTCTCTGTAGAGACAGAGCGGCTCAGAGCCAAGCAATTAATCCTGACACAGGATCCATGCTGTAGTGACAACTAAAACAGCCTGTAATACTTAGATTGCCGGACTAGTACCAATATTTTAAGATTGGCTCATACAGAACTTACAAGAAAGCACCTGATTCCACAAAAATGATGATGGTCATTGTAATACTACAGCAAGTAAGCAGAAGGCCTTTCTTCACGTCAGCGGAGATAAAATTTACATAAACATCCATTCTGTGAATATGATAGGGCTGGATACTGTGACTGTCGGGGACTCTGCTGTTAGCTTGAATTACTGAGGGAGACATCAAGTATTTCAGGAGCTTCTAATGTTATTTCAAAACTTGAAAAAATACTTAAGTGAATGGAATTTCTATGAATCAGTTGGTTGGACTGTGCAGTGTCAAAGCCTTGTTGATAACTGAAAAATGAAACCCAACCAAAAATAGAGACGAGATGGCCTGTCTGTCCAAGTAGTAACCTCATGTTTTCTTTTTCTACAGCAGGAAAAACCTAGGCTTCTGGAGCCTTTGGATTATGAAACTGTCGTTGAAGAACTTGAGAAGACCTACCAGAGTGATCCTCTTCGAGATCTTCTATTCTTCCCCAGCGATGACTTTTCAGTGAGTCTTCCTAAGACGCATACATTCAAGAGGGCTCCACAATTGGGTTGCTTTCTTTCCCCATGGATTCAGAGAGCACAGTTCTCTTCCAATGGCCATGCTTACATGCTTACAGTTCAAGCCCCAGTGGCTTGGTCCAATCACGGAAATGAGATTTCTGCATGAGATAAGCCTCTCTTAAAATCTGCCAGTACTGAAGGAGAAGCCACTACAAAGCTTAAGAAACAACTTGGAGGAGTTTATTTTCCTATATCAAATCTGTCTGTCTCTTGTCTTCCATTATTCCTCATATTTGGAACAGAAACTTATTTATTTCCATATACTTCCTTTTTCATGAATCCATGGAGAAAAGTAGAAAAAATTAACCCCCTAGAAGCCAGATCTTGCCCAAAGGCAAGACTCTGCTGCAGCAGGAGTCCACCTGCTCCTCTAGAAAGAGCTCTCATTAGAAAGCTGGCAGTGCAGTGAGATGGCAGCCACTGGCAATGGGGACAACACAGGTGCTGCCTGGTTTCAGCTGGCACTTATTTCCTTGAAAATATCCAGGTTTCTAACCATCAAGTTATCTGGACTCACAGAGCACTGCCTCTCGTAGTCCCTGAGGTCATTTCGAACTGAAAGCTTCTTTCCTTTCTTCCTTTCTTTCACAGGTAGAGTTATAGACAGTGAGAGAGAGAGACAGAGAGAAAGGTCTTCCTTCCGTTGGTTCACTCCCCACATGGCTGCTATGGCCGGCGCTGCGCCGATCCAAAGCCAGGAGCCAGGTGCTTCTTCCTGGTCTCCCATGTGGGTGCAGGGGCCCAAGCACTTGGGCCATCCTCCACTGCCCTCCCAGGCCACAGCAGAGAGCTGGACTGGAAGAGGAGCAACCGGGACTAGAACCCAGCACCCATATGGGATGCCGATGCTGCAGGTGGAGGATTAGCCAAGTGAGCCACGGCGCCGCCCCTCCCCCCCAACTGAAAGCTTCTAAGCAACTGAAACCAACCAATGGGAAATGCACAAAAGCTGCAATTCTTGAAAAACACTCCTAATCTTTGTTGACCTTTAATAAGGAGATGCTGAGGCTTAGGCGCAGAGAAAAGTAAGCAAGAACATCTGTATGGAGGGACATTTCATCTGAGCTATGTCCCTTTTGAGATAATGCACACTGTCACGTGGAATGCTGTTGAAGATAATAGAGAGGATAGAAAAAAAAAGCAGTTTATTTTGGAAGCAAATACTATGAAGTTATGAATTCTGAGCACCTATCAGTCCCAAACATACAATACTGTTATTTGTGGTCATCTCAAATATTTTCCAATTGTTAGTAAATATCTAACTAGGCAAGTAGAGAACTCAATAGGTCATTAGTAACCTTTCCTGGTTATTCCTAAAGAAAAGTAGTTTCAGAGATCACAAACTTCACCATGTTGAGCAGGTGAAAAAATTTCTTAGAAGTGACCCGGTGAAACAGCCACTGTTATGAGCACCTCTGTCAGGAGCATCATCTTCATTGCCATACTTTTCCTCAAACAGCCTCAAACATTGGTTCTTTTTCCTTTGGGCAAGATCTGGCTTCTAGGGGGTTAATTTTTTCTACTTTTCTCCATGGATTCATGAAAAAGGAAGTATATGGAAATAAATAAGTTTCTGTTCCAAATATGAGGAATAATGGAAGACAAGAGACAGACAGATTTGATATAGGAAAATAAACTCCTCCAAGTTGTTTCTTAAGCTTTGTAGTGGCTTCTCCTTCAGTACTGGCAGATTTTAAGAGAGGCTTATCTCATGCAGAAATCTCATTTCCGTGATTGGACCAAGCCACTGGGGCTTGAACTGTAAGCATAACGTTGAACCACTACTTTTTTTTTTTTTTTTTTCAAATCCCACATCCTTATTTTCATTTTTCCCTGAAGGTAAACCTGACAAAAAGATTTTCTGGCAGACGACACCAAAAACTGTGAAACTTGGAGAAATCTTTTCTGTGCCCCTGCTGTTCAGAAATATGTCAGATGCTACTCCAAGGCCCCATAGCTCAAAAAGAGAATGGAGGAGTATAGATGGACATAACAATTGCACTGAATTTGAATTCATATTTTTGTATCTTTCTTTGCTAATTTTAGTTAAGGCTGTCACTAATTACTCTTTGACTTTTGAGATCATATAACAATATACTTCTGTATTTTTCTAATGTGTATATTTCAGTAAGGACCCTGAACTACTTTATTGTGAACCTGCTTCAAACCCCTCTGTGGTTCCCCATCACCTTCAAGGTGAAAGGCACGTACTTTAGCCTGGCCAGAGGCCTTCTCCAAAGTCTGACCTTTGCTTGTTTCTCAGGGATGTAGTCCTGATCCTCAGTCTACCCCACCCCAGCCTTATCAGACAGTCACCCTCATTCCCAACTGCGGTAAAATACTATGCTAAGCCTAAACATCTCATTCTATAACACACTCCTATGTGTTATTTTCTTTTAGTCATTCCACAAATATTAATGTATAATACTGAATGCTAAATATTATTTAAGAGACACAATAGTGATTAGATGAAAATTAACTTGTTCTAAGGAAACATACCATTTCCAAGGGAAATCCAAGGGGAAAAATAATGATTAATAAGACAATTCATATAAAAACCAATTACATGATGAAAAGTAACTGAGACAATGCGATAGAAACTGACAAGGAGAACAACTATGTTGGACTAGAGGGCCAAGGACGGCCCCTCTGATGGTTGCATTTGAGTTCTGAATTCTCTAGAAAGACCAGCCTTGCCAAAAACTGGGGAAGAGATGTTTCAGCCTTTGAGGTCATAGACTGACACAGCTAAATGGAGACAGTGATCAGAGACGAGGTTGGACCAGGACAAGATAAGGCATGTGCATCTTACTGTAAAGGCGTGTCAAAAGGAAAGCCACTGGGGTATCTGAAGAACAAATGACGTGGTGTGTATTATTAAAAGCTTACCGGGCCTCTGTGTGAACATCTAATAAGGCTCAGAGGAAACCAGGAAGCAGCTGTGCGAGTAGTTCCTGATTAGTGGAAGCTGAAAAGATAGTTGATGCCACCTAATCCTTGTTATCAGAAAATGCTGTGTCCTACAAGCAGCTTAATTGTAATTTGTATTAAGCAACTTACAAACTAAATGCATGGTATTAGGTATTATTTCTGTATAAAGGTTTCAGGTTTGGATTCATATTCAGATAGATCATTCTGCCTCTCTCCTGCCCTGCAGAGCTTGGCTTGGGAAGTCATGGCCCATGAGTTCCCTGCTGCCTATATTTGTATATTCCATAACTGAGCATGGTTATTATGCTTTTAAGTAGTTGAAGAAAGCAATAATGTTTTATAATGTGATAATTTCCTAAATTCAAATTTTGTTATCCATATATTAAGTTGTATTTGAACAATGTTGCTATTTACTCGCCTTTTACCTTGTTCATGGTTGCTTCTTAATGGGAAAGTATAGTTGCAAGCGACGTATAATACAGAGAAAGCTTACTGATACTTGCTGTTCAGTAGAATTATTTTCATTTTGGCCTTTTCTCTCATTTGTCTTGTGGAGTTTAGATACTTGTTTAAATTCTCTGTGGCATTTATATGCTCTGCCCACAGACCGTCACATTTTAGGGGGGTTATCACCTGTAACAAGCTTCCATGCACTGGCCAGTGTATCATCTCCCTGGTCCCTCCTTGAGCAAGGAGTGAAGGGTGCTCTGGCATATGTGTGGTCAGTCTTCTCTCAACCAGTGGGAATGGCCACCCATAATAGAATGGCCATCCCAAACCCAATGTCCTATGAAAGGAAAAGAACCAACTTCCCACTCCCCATCCTCCTGCCAAATGTCATTACCCAAATTTATATCCTACAGATGGGAGAATCCAGTTCTCTTCTATGTTACTAAGCACCCACATTGAAGTAGACATGATTCATTATTTGGTTTGTTTAATCAATATTTATTCAGCACCCACAAGGTGCTGAATATAGAACAGCACTTCCTAGACAAGTGAGACTGACAAGAAAAGCAAAAACCCTGTGGTGCATGAGTCTGTGCCCTAATATGGAAGAAAAGTAAAGTTGATCACAAATGCTTATGAAGAAAGTATTAAGAAATATTAAATATCGAGAAATGAGAACTGTATCTGAAACTTGTACACTAAATGAAGAATTTTTTTTTTTACCATGGAAGTATTTTTTCATGTCAAATATACATGTTAGCAACTCTCTGCTCACTGCTGGTCCTAACTCCCATCACTCTTGCTTGGCCCCTCAGAAGTGTCCTTCCATCAGCCTGCCTGCTTTTTCCATTGGCCTGCTTCGATTCATTCGCTCTAAGTACTCAAAGGAATGCTTTAGAAACACAAATCTGGTAACGCCATGCTTCTGGTTGAGACTTTGCAGAAGTTTCCCTTTGCTTTGAGAGTGAGCTCCAGCTCCTCAGCCTTGTTCCTGGCATCTGGTTCCTAGTGGGTCCCTGAGCCTCATCTCCTAACCCTGTTTCACTTGCTCGCAGCACATAGAACCCAGGATTCTTTCTCTTCCCTACGCTTGCTGAACTCATTCCCTCTGGGGGCCTTTACACCCTGTGCACAGCTGGTCCCCATGTTGGGATCAGAACTCAGTCACCTCTTCAAAGAAGCATCCTCGACTTCCAACCTTCATTGCCCCACTCCTATCTGAGTTGGTCCATCACAGCTGCCTGCTTGCTTCTCTTTATAGGACCTGTCACTACCCGGAACACTCCTGGTTTTCTTTTTCACTCCTCTGCCCCTTGGTTCCCATCATTAGATTGTAACCTTCAGCAGGACAGGCATGTGATGTCCTGATCATTGCAAGATTTCCCGCAACTAGAGCAGCACTTAGCGCAACACAAGAAAAAGTAGAAGTATTTATCTCATGAATTATTTCTCAGAAATGTGTAAATTGTTGTCTTAGAACAAAAACTTTGTTCCTCTGGGGACTATGAGGATCTCAAAGGCCATTCTGAAATAAAATTCTTGAGAATAAGGCAATAGAGTAGTTGTCTTTCTTGCTGAGGAGGAAAATAATCACTAACGTGATACTTTCCTCTTTGACACAATGCAACACACCACTTTCTTCTTTTTTATGTATTTATTTGAGAGGTAGAGTTACAGACAGAGGGACAGAGCGAAAGGTCTTCCATCCACTGATTCACTCCCCAAATGGCCACAATGACTGGAGCTGAGCCAATCTGAAGCCAGGAGCCAGGAGCTTCTTCCAGGGTCTCCCACATGGGTGCAGGGACCCAAAGACTTAGGCCATCTTCTACTGCTTTCCCAGTCCATGGCAGAGAGCTGGATCAGAAGTGGAGCAGCCAGGACTCAAATCAGCGACCATATGGGATGCTGGCAGTGCAGGCAGAGACGTAGCCTACTGTGCCACAGAGCCAACCCCAACACATCACTTTCAAAAGCAGCACCAAGAACTCAACTCCTTTTCCAGAGGCTTATCCATTTAGTACAGTGCCTGGCACATAGCTGATGTCAGCCAAGGTTAGTTTCCTCCTGCTAACAATTTATGTCCTTACCCACTTAGGTTTGCACTTTCTTTTTGTTACTAAGTGAGAGAGAAATCAGTTCATATCTTAGGTGCCCAATACTGTTCAGTTCACAGACACTCAATATTGAACTAAAATACAGTCATACACCACTTATCAACAGTTATGTTCTGAGAAATTAAAGAGCATTTTGTCAGAGTACAAATATCATAGGGTAGACTTACACATCCTAGATATTACATTTATATCAATCACTTGATGTGATCTCTTGTCCACATGAGCTGGATAAGGCTACTTCCAACATAACAAGGTATATGATTTTAATAGTAAAAAGAATTATAAGTAGAAGTATATACTCTAAAATAATGACAAAAAGTATAACATGTGATTTAATGCTATAAATCATACTCAAACAGTATTTTTCACTTTGTGTTCCTGTGTGGGTGCAAACTGTTGAAATCTTTATATATACTGAACTGATCTTCTGTATATAAAGAGAATTGAAAATGAATCTTGATATGAATGGAAGGGGAGAGAGAGCAGGGGGTGGGAGAGAAGTTATGGGGGGGAGCCATTGTAATCTATAAGCTGTAAATTGGAAATTATATTCATTAAATAAAAGTTAAAAAAGTATAATATAATAAATATACAAACCAGTATTAATCATGTATTATCATTATCCATCATTAAGTACTGGACATAATCATTTTATACTTTTGTATAACTGGTAGTGCAGTAAGTTTGTGTGTAACAGCATTCATCAGAACAAGTGAGTGATGAATGGCTATAAAGTCACTAGGTGATAGGTATGTTTTAGCTCCATTATAGTCTTGTGTATACAGATCTCTTGTTGACCAAAGTGCTTTTGTGAGGTGCATGAATGTAGTGTCTTCTAGGTTAAGGGACTGAAGTAGAAGTTTTTTTCCTTTGTTTTGGCATACCAAGTAGAAGCTACTTCTGATATGTGGGTTCTGAAACCAGACAGTCTGAACTTCTGCATTTCTTATATCATAATGATTCAGTAGGAATAAATAGTATAGAGAGATTTATTAACTCATTGATTCCAAAATCATATACATGTTCATTCACTGAATTGGCTAGTCTCTTTCTGCTCATCTTTCTTTTTGAAGCTGTTAGTAATGGAAACTTAAGACCAAAAAAATGAAGAACTTAGTCACTGTGTGATCAGTAAAATAGGTAGAAAGAACATGAAAAGATAGCAAGAGCTGAAGAACAGTTTCAAATATATTGAATCATTTTGTTGAGTGATTCAGGGTAAGTAGAGGCTGATGCGAAATAGCAGAACAAAAGGTGAGAAAGCCAGAAATGAGTTTCTTGCTGAGCAAATGATGCAGAAAGCCTGAGGTAGAATCATTTCCGGGAGGTACAAAACCTAAAGTTAGAAAGTTCAGGGGTCTGAAAGCTGGGAATACTGCACACTATGTAGGAAGCCATCTGTCACCTGTATTTCAACAACGCCCACAGCAGTACAACTCCTCTATTTCAATTTAGCCAACATAGACTCCCTGTGGTGAGCTAAACCATACACATACAAGTGTACTTCAAAGAGCTTGTGGGAAATGGAATAAAAAGACAAGTTTATCTTGGTGCAAAAAAACCTTTGAAATCAATGCATCTTTTTTTTATAAGCTATATTTCTACTAATTTTTTGAAAACTCCCATCATGTATTGCTTTCAACATTTTTTTCACCAAAATAAACTGATCTTTTAATTCCATTTTCCATGAACTTTTTGAAACATCCTCATATCAAGGACACCAGTGTGAACAAGCAAGAAGCAGTGCTCACACTCAAATAGTTAGGTTTTCAACATGGAACAGGACCATTTGCCAAGTGGGAGATCCATGCCACATGCCTGAAATAGTCTGTCAAGAGAGTGGCATTATCTTCTCCAATCCCATCTTCACGTTCAGGATCAGTGCTCCAGTGCTCCCAAAGCACCCTACACTTTGCATTGGTTTACTATCAAGCTTGTGTAGGTGGTGGATTTCATAATTCAACAGTGACTTGCTCTTTTCATAGTAGGTTTTTAGCCATAAAAAGCAACCGGTATGTGGGGACTTCCAGATTCAACCACATAGGTCATTCAAAGAGAGGAAGCAGTAAGACCTTGCTATGTTTAAGTTGCAAAGCAGAAAGGTCATGAGGTTTTTTTTTTTTTCATTCCTGCAGCACAGCTTAATATTTTATAGGAATCTCAACTTCTTTTTTACTTATGGTTTCTGAGCTTGAGAAGCAGGTTTTAAATGATTCATTGTGTTCATGCAGGAACACCATAATTGCAATTTGAAAGCTAAGTAAGAGTCCTTGTTGAATTAGATTCTTCCTAAGTTATAATATTCCTCTCATTTACAAGCTAACGAAGCTAAGATTTGGGCAGCCCTTGTTCAAGAATGTAGAGAATCCGTGAGGAATGATTTTTGCAATTGCCTTGATTTTTGCTATTAGTTTCTGTCTAAATGATATTCTTTGGGCCAGCTGTACCTTGGAAAAACAAGGTTCACAACCTGAGGGAGATATTGACTCCCTGAACCCCAAGTGAAGCCATTGTAACACTAGCACCACAGTGAAGCGGTTCTGACTAGCTGCTCCTAGTTATCATGTTCTTCATTTTGTTATGAGTATGTGGAAACTCTGCTTAGGGTTGGATTGCCCTAGGAATGCGTGTCCACACACAGACTCATTCATGTGTGTTCATAGATACATTTTTATAATAGTCCCCAAATGGAAACAACCCAAAGGTCCATCAACTGATGAATGAGAAAACAAAATATGTCATATCTATGCAAGGCTATATTATTATTCAATCATAAAAGGGAATGAAATATTGATCCTTAAATACATTGTGTTAAGTGCACAAATCCAGTCACAAAGACTACATATGTTTTTCTTTCCTAGTCTATGAAATGCCTAGAAAAGGCAAATCCATGGAGAAAGGATATGAGGGTTTGTGAGGGACTGGTATGAGGGGAATATGGGTGGTGACTGCTAGTGGATTTGCCATGCGAGGTGATAAAATATTATAAAGTTAAGTAGTAGTGATGGTACACAACTCTATACATATTCTCAAAATCTGTGATTTTTCACTGTAAAGGGGTGAGTTTCTAGTGGGATATCACCTCATGCCTATCAGAATGGCTGTTATCAAAAACAGAGAATGGCAAGTGTTGAGAGGGATGTGGAGAAAAGGGAACTGTTGGGTACTGTTGGTGGGACTGTAAACTAGTGTAGCCACTGTGAAAACCAGTATGGGAATTTCTTTAAAAACTAGAAGTGGAACTGCCATATGATCCAACAATCCCACTACTATGACCCAATGCACCCAGAACACATTAACACATGGTACCTGCTTCACCATATTTATAGCCTCAGTGTTCACAATACCCAAAATGTGGAATCAGCCCAAGGTGTCCATCCTCAGATAAATGCATCAGAAAATGTGACATATATACATAATGAAATACTATCCTGCTAGAAAAAAAAGAATGAAATCCTATCATTTGCAGCAAAATGACAGTGTGGAACTCCAGGACACCATGTTGAGTGAAATAAGGCAGACACAAAAGACAAATACCAAATGTCATCCTATATTAGTGGGAGTTAAAGTAAAAAAAAATAAAATAAAATAAAAACTCAGTATGACCACTGAGTATTGATTACTAATGGATAGGAGGAGTAAGAGGAAGTAAAGGAGCTTAGATGGAGAAAAAATAGGAGAATTCTAGGTGTGGTGGATTAATTAAGAGGAATATACAGAAACTCTCTGCATTACTACCTCACAATTTTTTATTTTGTAAATTTAATACTATTCTGGAATAAAATGTTTAAAAATGATATGTCAGTAAGTATTTCAATATGTTTAAAAATGGTGTGTGGATAGTATCTGTATAATTTTGTTACTACCCCCAAAAAAGTGTGTAGATATTACAGTCAGGTTGTCAGAGGTAGACTACAAAAGAACCAAAGAAATAGATGTCCACATTCCAGTACTTCATTCTTTAAGACAGTAAACAAAATATCTCAAGGGAACATGGCGTAACTTATTTCTTTGTTATATTTTATTTTCCAGGATTTAATGTGGCTTGCTTACAGTAAAACACACATGTAAAATGACTGGCTGAATTCATTGGCCATATAGTTTTGGAGTCTAAAATATTCCATAGTTAAGCTATTATAAAGACACTAAATGATGGAGGTCAGGGAAGAGGAACATGTGCTGAATAAATTAGAATTTTCCAAAGAAACTGGCACTTATACAAAACCTGGAATTTGGAAAGCATGAAGACAGTGAGGGGTTTTCTGAGAACTAGAGGAGCATAGCCAAAACCCTTTTCAGGAACAAGCCCAGAATGGAAGAAGGCATGTGGGCAGCCACATGCAGAGGAGCGAGGACAGTGGCTATGGCGGGCTGGCTCATTGTGTACCTGTCGCCATTCCCAAGGAAGCATCACATGCCAGACAAGGCAGGGCGCTTCCCTGGATTTCCTGGATAGTGAGCTCAGACCGCAGCCTCTGACTCCTTGCCAGGGGGACATCCTGGTGAAAAACTTCTTTAAAACATGTGGAGCTCTTTGTTTCTATCAATACGTAACATTTTTCCATATGCATATTTTGGAGCCTGGAAATAAGTCACCAAAAAAGAAGTGAAATTACTTTCTCAGTATCCAAGAGTGAAAATCCTTCTCCTTCTTTCTTACTTCTCTGCGACACTGAGCCCCTAAGCTTGACTTGACTAGATGATGACAACTCTACACTCACAGGTTTTTCTCACACTGTTTAACTTTAGCAATACAAAAAGGGGTTTCCCTTCAAAGCACAATGCAGGTACTCAGATGATAGTCTCACATATTTAAAAAATAAATAGGGTAAAATCACACCAGTAATACACTTTTGAATGTGGTAAAAATGTTTTTGCAGCAACTAACACAATATAAGTGTATTCACTAAAAAGCAGTGCCTGCATCTCATTCTGGCACATTTAGGGGAAGATCACTTTTAAAGATGTATTTATGCCAGAACTGATCATGAAGCGTTAGTTAGTAGTTCCTATCATGAGGCTATTACCTTCTCCGGCTTGGACGGATGGATGACTCTAAACACTATCATTTTTGTCCTTTTTTAAGCAGCTGGGGCCTACAGTACTGTCAGAGGAAGCTTTTCTCGGCCCCAGGGTAGGAAAAGCTGCCTTGTTTCAGACTTTGACAGTGGCCTTTGGCCAATTGAGCAATCACCTCTATGTGCTTGGAATAAAGTCTCCTGTAGTCATTTTACCCAGTAGAATGGTGACTGCAACAAAACCGCAAAGACTACTCTCTACAGGATAGAAGAAACCAGAAAGTGACAGGGATGCAATAGAACGTGTCTGACTATCACAAGCCTGAAACTGCAAACAGCAACCTACATGCATCATTTCTATGACAATTTTTATTTCTAAATGCCTACTCTCTGAACAACAGTCTCCTTACAAAACTCTTACCACCAAGAGAGGAGCTTGGCAGAGTTCCAGCACAGTCTCATGCTATTGAGCTATACTAATTGTCAACCAGAGGGTTTGTAAAAGAGAACAGGAAGTCTGTTGTGGCCAAAGCAATTTGTAGTGGTCTGAAAGCAGCTAATTCTCAGAAAAGAAATTCTTTGTAACCATATTAATATCCCTAACATATTTTTCCTACTTTGCTTCTTATTTGTGATCAACTTTTTGGCCATAGTGGAAACACATTAAACATGTAAAATGAGCAGAAGCACCACAATGGTTAAAGCTGAAATTTTAGAAAGGTCTTTTGCTTTTTTAAGTACATGCTCCGGCATCATAAAGCAATGTAACTGAGATCGGTAGCGTGTAATAGTCAGCCATTATAAATGTGCTCCTTTTCTTATACCTTGTATAGTCGTACAAGGTAAGAGATGTGCAAGAACTACAAACATAGTGTGAAATCTTGTTCTATTTAGATTGATCACATGATTCCATGAGAGTGATTCAGCTTGAGTTGTCTTAGTAACAAGTCAATGTCATTTCATAAGTAAAGATCATCAGGAATCATTCAAGGTATTGTACACATCATTAGGCAGGTTTTATAGCCCTAACTGAATGAATTCCCAGTCTCATAACTGCATGTGAGCATTAGCTTAAATAGTTTAGAGTCCATCTGTGCTATATCACATCACTAATCAAATAGCCATATGATTATTGCTATTGGATATGTGAGCTCACATTAGCAAAACTTATCATTTAAAGAAAAAGCTTTTTAAACCAGCTAAGTAATCACTCTATTTTATGACTCCACAGAGCAATTATCTTAATAGGGCGGTAAGATTAATGTACATCTGTAGGCTTGATTTTAAGCCTTGTTGTTCCAATCTACATCAGAACCAGAGTATTTTAAGGCAGCCATTATTTAGAGTAAAAAGAAGACAATAAAACAATGGAAGACTAGGTAGACAGAAGGAAGATTAATCTCTTCTATTTTACTTGTATGAACAATTTATTATAAAGTCATAATATAGCACATTTTTATTTAGAAAAAAATGTCCTGAGTATTTTCAATAGACTACAATCTGTAATATTTCCTGCAAACCAAGCAGAAAATACTGTGTATCTGGGAAATATCTGTCTGAACAGGAAACAACAGTAGAAATCCAGTAATAATCCTCAAAGGTCAAACTCTACTAGAGTTTACTAGAGTTTAATCATTGTGCATCTTCTAAACCAGTGAATTATGTAAAAGGGGCAACTTGAAGGAGGAAATTCAAAACCAATTAAAATGTAATGGCTCAATCAACCATCTTCATCTTCATATCTGTTCCATCTTCATATCTGCACTGGTTCACTGTATCTGAATTTGTCTAAGCCCTGTGGATAGTTTTGAATTTGTAGCCACAGCTCTACCCAATTCTGTTAAGACAGATGAGGTCAAATTCTGGGGCAAATGCATTGGCCCAGGGAATTCAGTCAACAGCTATGTTCTAAAATGAACATTTATTTTTACCATATGCTGTATCTAGAACTCAGTAGTCTTTATCTTCTGTTGTTAAATCCACATGACATTTTTCCTCTTTCATACTGACTAACCCTCATGCTTCCCAATGTGCATGTGCTACAGAGAGAGAGACAGAGAGAGAGAGAGAGAGAGAGAGAGAGAGATTCTTTCATTGCTTACATATGCTCATCCTGATGCACTATACACACCCATGTACTCCACACACATACCACATGCATACCATACATCTACACACACACTCCAAAAAATCTTATGTACAATCACATACACATTCCTCACTACTTATCATAGAGACCGCTCATTCCATATACACAACCACGCAAGCTCACAAAATCACAAATGACATACCCATACAGTCCTCATACCACAGATGCACACATCTGCATACACACATATGCTTACTAAATTCAATAAACAATGCACCCAACTTGGCACTAAGGTTATAGCACTGAAGAACACAGAATTTTTCACACTCATGGAGCCCATATCAGGAATTTTAAAAGGGGGATCTGAAATTTAAAAAAAAAGATGTGAGTCTAGGATTAGAAGAAAGAAAGAAAGGATTGGGGGTTGGATTAAGAAAGGTTAGGGAGAAAATAGCAGAGGAAATTCTAAGCAAATTGGAGGGACACAGTGGGCCTATGTGGAGGATGAGGACATAAAAAAAGGACTCCACCTGCTGAGAGCCTACACACCAGCATTGTAGAGTGAGGTGAGCCCAGGCTGCAGCAGCCCAAGCCACTGGCAAAAAAGATACAGGAAGAGCCTAGAAGGAATCCAGCTTGGAGTCCTGTGGAGGATAGTGTACCCACCAAACTAGAGGAGAAAAAATAAAGAGGGGGCATGCTTTCTCTATTCTCAGTCATCCTGCAATGGTATCCTATAACAAGCTGATAGAGAGCAGGTGCCATTTTTGGACAAACATAAGAGCTGTGCCAACTCGTGTCCACCTCCAGCAACCAGCCAAGTGGAGACTCCTGAGTCTGGTGGGGAGAAGAGACAGGGTACTGGGTTCTTATGACTGTGTGAGGCTTGGGTGCCGGGACTGTGAAAACACTGAGGCTGTATGGGAAAACTCAGGGTGTGGCTGGGACTTTGGGCAGTCGCTGTGGGAGGCTGCACACAATCAGGGATTCTAGCAGGGACATTGCTGGGGAATCTGAGCTTATACTGAGGCCTGCATAGATCCTTTGGGTGATCCTTGTGCCAGAATAGATGAATAATATATCCATGGGGATAGCACCCAGGCACTGCTCTACAGTGATGCTGTAAAGGAGCTAAGCTGAATGTATGCCAAAAGACAAGAACAAACCTCCCCTCTGATTAAAAAAAAAAAAAAAGAGGAGACTTACCATGCCAAACCTGAGACTTTCACCTCAGACAAGCCCTCCACTCTGGAGCACTGAACAGAGCTCCTTGGCCACACACCACATGCTGCTAGGTTTTCCCTGAAAGCAGACATTGCATTAATCCACACAGATGTAGTTCGAATATAAAGCGTCCACAGCAAAAAAGAAGAAACAAATAAGTATATCTACAAATGCTGAATCACAAACACACCAATTCAAGAAACAAGAAAAAGGAAGATAACATAATCCCCCAAAAGAACATAACACCTAAATACTGGATTGTGAAGATGATGAGATTGAAGAAATGGAGTCAAAGGGAGCACATAGACAAGTCTAGTACCTGCTAACGCTAACCGATGGAGTAAATAAAGGGGAGAGTGATCCAACATGGGAAGTGAGATACTCAGCAGACTCATAGAATGGCAGATGTCCTAAATAGCACTCTGGCCTCAGAATCAGCCCTAAAGGCATTCAGATCTGGCTGAAAGCCCATGAGAGTATTTCAGGCATGGAAAGCCAAGACACTCTGGCAAAAGATCTATGTGAGTGAGATCCCAGTGGAAAGAACAGGTCTTCAAAGAAGGAGGTACCTTTCTCTGAAGGGAGGAGAGAACCTCCACTTTGACTATGACCTTGTCTAAACAAGATAAGAGTCGGAGAACTCAGAGGGCTTCCATAGCCTTGGAAACTCATGACTGGAGCATAGGGAGATTACTGATGCCATAGACAGGAGTGTCAATTGGTAAAGTCAACAACAGGAGTCACTGTGCACTTACTCCTCATGTAGGATCTCTGTCCTTAATGTGCTGTGCATTGAGATTTAATGCTATAACGAGTACTCAAACAATACATTTCACTTTGTGATTCTATGGGGGTGCAAACTGTTGAAATCCTTACTTAATGTATACTAAACTGATCCTCTGTAAAAAAAAAAAAGAAATTATCAATTCCCAACTTGACTCTCACTGGGATTAAACATGACAATAGGTCTGCTCTGATTTCATCATCATTTAAAAAATCATCTATTATTTTTCACTTTATGTTTCTGTGTGGGAGCAAACTGTTGAAATCCATACTTAATGTATACTAAGCTGATCTTCTGTATATTAAGATAATCGAAAATGAATCTTGATGTGAATGGAAGGGGAGAGTGAGTGGGAAAGGGGAGGGTTGTGGGTGGGAGGGACGGTATGGGGGGGAAGCCATTGTAATCCATAAATCGTACTTTGGAAATTTATATTCATTAAATAAAAGTTTTAAAAAAAAAAGAATTCAGAAAATTGATCTTAGGATTAATTACAAGTAATCAGAAGCAAATGCACAAACAAATGAAATCAATAAATGACTTGAAAAAAAATTTCTCCCACGAAATTGAGATCTTAAAGAGAAATCAAAATGAAATTTTGGAAATGAAGAATTCAATAGAACAAATAAAAATAAGTGGAAATCCTTAACAACAGATTCAGTGAAGCAGAAGAAAAGATATCTGACTTAGAAGACAAGCACAAGAAATCATACAGTCAGACCAAAAACAAAAAGAATAAATTATAAAAATAGAAAACATTGTTGGTAATATACAGGATAATATCAAGCAACCCAACATATGTATTTTAGGGGTTCCTGAAGCCGTAGAAAGAGAGAAAAGATTAGAAGGCCCTTTTAGTGAAATAACAGAAAATTTTCTTAATTTGAAGAAAGAAGGGGACATCCAAGTACAGGAAGCATACAGAACTCCAAATACATATAATCAGAAAAGATCTCCACCATGACAGACTATAATCAAACTCTCCACATAAACATAAAGAAACATAAAAACATAAAGAAAAGATTCTAAAATGTGCAAAAGAGAAATGCAGATTACTTTCAGAGGATGCCCAATTAGACTCACAGCAGACATTTCATCAGAAATCCTACAGGCTAAGAGAGAATGGTGAGATGTATTCCAAGTCTTAAGAGAAAAAAAAAAAAAAACTATCAACCTAGAATACTACAACCTGCAAAGCTCTAACTTATGAAAGAAGGTGAAATAAAGACCTTCCATGACAAACAGAAATTGAATCAATTTGTCACTAACCATCCAGCTTTACAAAAGATGCTTAAGGATATGCTGCACACAGACACAGAGACATATTCATCACTATAAAAGAATGTAAGGGAAGGAAATATCCCAGAAAAGTACAAAGGAAATCCAAAGTAAAAACTAGGAATATTTATGAAAAATGGCAAGGCAAAGTTGTTACTTATCAATAGTCACCTTGAATGTAGATGGCCTCAACTCTCCAGTTAAAAGACAAAGACTGGCTGAATGGATTAAAAAACAAAATCAAACTATTTGTTGCCTACAAGAAACACATCTCACCAACAAAGATGCACAGAGACTGAAAGTGAAAGGATGGAAAAAGATATTCCATGCTAATAGAAACCAAAAAAGAGCTAGTGAAGGGGCCAGCGCTACGGTGCCATCGGTTAACACCCTGGCCTGAAGTGCCGGCATCCTATAAGGGCACCAGTTCTAGTCCTGGCTGTTCCTCTTCCAATCCAGCTCTCTGCTATGCCTGGGAAAGCAGTAGAGGATGGCCCAAGTCCTTGGGCCCCTGCACCCACGTGGGAGACCTGGAGGAAGCTCCTGGCTCCTGGCTTCGGATTGGCACAGCTCTGGCTGTTGTGGCCAATTGGGGAGTGAACCAGCAGATGAAAGACCTCTCTCTCTCTCTCTCTCTCTCTGCCTCTCTTATCTCTATGTAACTCTCTAACTTTCAAATAAATAAATAAAATCTTTAAAAAAGAGCTAGTGTGGCCATCATAATATCAGACAACATAGACTTTAACACAAAAACTATTAAGAGACAAAGAATAACGCTATGTAATGATTAAGAGATCAGTTCAGAGCCGGCGCCGTGGCTCAATAGGCTAATCCTCCACCTTGCGGCGCCGGCACACCGGGTTCTAGTCCCGGTCAGGGCACCGGATTCTGTCCCGGTTGCCCCTCTTCCAGGCCAGCTCTCTGCTATGGCCAGGGAGTGCAGTGGAGGATGGCCCAGGTGCTTGGGCCCTGCACCCCATGGGAGACCAGGAAAAGCACCTGGATCCTGGCTCCTGCCATCGGATCAGCGCGGTGCGCCGGCTGCAGCGGCGGCCATTGGAGGGTGAACCAACGGCAAAGGAAGACCTTTCTCTCTCTGTCTCTCTCTCTCACTGTCCACTCTGCCTGTCAAAAATAAAAATAAAAAAAAAGAGATCAGTTCAGCAGGAGGATGTAACTAGTATAAAAGCATATGCACTAAATTACAGAGCACCTGGCTATTTAAAAGAAATATTAAGAGATCTAAAGGGAGGCATAGACTCAAAGACAGTATCAATGTGGGATGTCAATGGACAGATCAACCAGACAGAAAATCAGCAAGGAAACCGCAGAGTTAATCAACGTGATAGACCAAATGGACCTAACAGATACCTAAAAAACTTTTCATCCTACAGTTGCAGAATACACATTCGTCCAGCAGTGCATGGAACTTTCTCTAAGACTGACCATATGCTAGCCCATAAAACAAGTCTCAGCAAATTCAAAAAAATCAAAATCATAGCATGCATCTTCTCAGGCCACAATGGAATGATGCTGAAAATCATCAACTCAGGAATTTCTAGAACATATACAAACACATGGAGACTGAACAACATGCTCCTGAATGAACAGTGGGTCATAGAAGAAATCAAAAGAGAAATAAAAAATGGAAACAAGTGAAGATGACAATGCAACATCAAAACTTATGAGATACAGCAAAAACAGTTAAGATGAAAGTTTATAGCAATAGGTGCCTACATCAAGAAATTGAAAAGGCAAAAAATAAATGAAGTATCAAAGCATCGCAAGTATCCAGAAAAACAACAGCAAACCAAACCCAAAGCAAGTAGGTGAAAAGATATAATTAAAATTAGAGAAGAAATCAACAAAATTGAAACCAAAAGCAACATGAAAGATCAGCAAAACAAAGAGCTGTTTTTTTGAAAAAATAAAAAAAATTAACACACCACTGGTCCAACTAACCAAAAAAAGGAGAGAGAAGAACAAAATCAATAAAATTAGAGATGAAAAATGAAATGTAATAACAGGCACCACAGAAATAAAAAAAATCATTAGAAATTCTGGCAGGCCAGCACTGCAGCTCAATAGGCTAATCCTCTGCCTGTGGCACCGGCATACTGGGTTCTAGTCCCTGTTGGGGCACCAGATTCTGTCCCAGTTGCCCCTCTTCCAGTCCAGCTCTCTGCTGTGGCCCAGGAGTGCAGTAGAAGATGGCCCAAGTGTTTGGGCCTTGCACCCACATGAGAGACCAGGAGAAGCACCTGGCTCCTGCCTTCGGATCGGCATGTTGTGCCGGCCACAGCGTGCCAGCCGTGGCAGCCATTGAGGGTTGAACCATTGGTAAAAGGAAGACATTTGTCTCTGTCTCTCTCTTTCACTGTCCACTCTCCCTGTTAAAAGAAAAAAAAAGAAATTCTGGCAAAGAGCTGTATGCCAACAAAATGGGAAACTTAGAAGAAATGGATAGCTTCTTGGACACATAAAAACTTAAATTGAGCCATGAAGACATGGAAAACCTAAATAGACCCATTACCAACACAGAAATTGAATTAGTAATAAAGACACTATCAACAAAGAAAAGCAAAGGACCAGATTGTTTCACTGCTGTATTCTACCAGACATTTAAAGAAGAACTAACTCCAATTATTCTCAAGTTATTCAAAACAATTAAAAGGGAGGGAATCCTCATAAATTGTTTCCATGAAGCCAGTATCACCTTAATTCCTAAACCCAGGAAAAGACACAACAGAGAAATAGAGAACTACAATCCAGTTTCCTTGATGAACATAGATGCAACAATCCTCAACAAAATTCTAGCTAATCAAATCCAACAACACATCAGAAAGATCATTCATTCAGAACAATGGGATTTATCCCTGGTATGCAGGGATGGTTCAACATTCACCAATCAAGTAATGTGATACATCACATTAACAAATTAAAGAACAAAAACCATATGATTTTCTCAGTTAATGCAGAGAAAGATTTTATAAAATACAACACCCTTTAATAATGAAAACTCTAAGCAAATTGGATATAGAAGGAATATTCCTCAGCAAAATCAAAGCAATTATGACAAACCCATAACCAGCATTCTATTCAACGGGGGAAAGTTGGAAACACTCTGACTGAAACCTGGAACCAGACAAGGATGCCCACTCTCACCATTGCCATTTAATATAGTTTTAGAAGTTTTAGCCAGACCATTAGGCAAGAAAAATAAATCAAAGGGATACAGATTGGGAAAGAGGAAGTTCAACTATCCCTATTTGCAAATGGGATATATATATATATATATATATATATATATATTCTATATATAGGGGATCCAAAAGAATCTACCAAGAGTCTATTGGAACTCACAAAAGACTTTGGTGAAATAGTGGGATATAAATCAATACATAAAAATCCATAGGCTTTGTATACACAGACAATGCCACAGCTGAGAAAGAACTTCTAAGATAAATCCCATTCACAATAGCTACAAAAAAAATCAAATAACTTTGAATAAAATTAACCAGGGATGTCAAAGATCTCTACATGAGAATTACAAAACATTAAAGAAGGAAATAGAAGAAGATATAAAAAAATAGAAAAATCTTCCATGTCATTAATTGGAAGAATCAATATCATCAAAATGTCCATTATTCCAAAAGCAATTTACAGATTCAATGCAATACCAATCAAAATACTGAAGATTTCTTCTCAGATTTAGAAAAAATGATGCTGAAATTCAAATGAAAACACAAGAGACCTTGAACAGCTATATCTATCTTATACAACAAAAACAAATCCAGAGGCATCACAATACCAGATTTCAAGAAATACTACAAGGCAGTTATTATCAAAGCAGCCTGGTACTGATACAAAAACAGATGGATAGACCAACAGAGCAGAATAGAAATGCCAGAAATTCATCCAAACATCTACAATCAACTTGTATTTGACCAAGGAGCTAAAACCAATCCTTGGAGCAAAGACAGTCTCTTCAACAGATGGTTCTGGGAAAATTGAATTTCCACATGTGGAAGTATGAAGTAGGACCCCTACCTTATACCTTACATAAAAATCCATTCAAAATAGATTAAAGATCTAAATCTAAACCTGATACCACCAAATTATTAGAGAACATTGGAGAAACCCTACAAGACATTGGCACAGGCAAAGAATTCTTGGAAAAGACCCAAGAGGCACAGGAAATCAAAGCCAAAATCAACAAATGGGATTACATCAAATTGAGAAGTTTCTGTACAGCAAAAGAAACACTTAGGAAAGTGAAGAGGCAACCAACAGAATGGGAGTAATTATTTGCAAACTATATAACTAATACAGGGTTAATAACCAGAATATTCAAGAGATCAAGAAACTACACAACAACAAAACAAACAACCCAGTTAAAAAAAAAAAAACCCTAAATGAAAGATCTCTGTGAGTGAGATCCCAGTGGAAAGAAAAGGTCTTCAAAGAAGGAGGTACCTTTCTCTGAAGGGAGGAGAGAACCTCCACTTTGAATATGACCTTGTCTAAACAAGATAAGAGTTGGTGAACTCAAAAGGCTTCCATAGCCTTGGAAACTCATGACTGGTGCATAGGGAGATTACTGATGCCATAAACAGGAGTGTCAATTGGTAAAGTCAACAACAGGAGTCACTGTGCACTTACTCCTCATGTAGGATCTCTGTCCTTAATGTGCTGTACATTGAGACTTAATGCTATAATGAGTACTCATCTATTATTTTTCACTTTATGTTTGTGTGGGAGCAAACTGTTGAAATCTTTACTTAATGTATGCTAAACTGATCTTCTGTAGATAAAGAGAATCGAAAATGAATCCTCATGTGAATGGAAGGGGAGAGGGAATGGGAAAGGGGAGGGATGCGGGTGGGAGAGACGATATGGGGGGGAAGCCATTGTAATAAGCTGTACTTTGGAAATTTATATTCATTAAATAAAAGTTAAAAAAAAAAAGAGAAAGGGGGGAATGTGGGATGAGAGAATACCTAGGACTAAAAAAAAAAAAAAAAAAGAAATGGGCAGAGGACTTAAACAGACATTTTCAGAAGTGGAAATCCAAATGGCTAACAGACACATGAAAAAAAGTTCAGGATCACTAGGCATCAGGGAAAGGAAAATCAAAACTGCAATGAGGTTTTATGTCACCCCAGTTAGAATGACTTTCATACAGAAATCAACAAACAACAAATACTGTTGAGGATATGGGGAAAGATGGTACCCTACTCCACTGTTGGTGGGAATGTAAACTGGTAAAGCCACTATGGACTACAGTTTGAAAATACCTCAGAAACCTGAATATAGATCTACCATATGACACAACCCTCCCACTGCTGAGAATTTACTCAAGGGAAATGAAATCAGCAAATAAAAGAATTATCTGCACCCCCATGTTTATTGCAGCTCAATTCATAATAGCTAAGACATGGAATCAACGTAAATGCCCATCAACGGAAGACTCAATTAAGAAATTATGGGATATTTATTTTATGGACTACTACACAGTGGATAAAAAATGAAATCTGGTCAGTTGCAACAAAATGGATGAATCTGGAACACATCATACTTAGTGAAATAAGCCAGTCCCAAAGGTGTCAAAAACCATATGCTCTCCCCAATCTGTGGTAACTAATAGAACACCTAAAAGGAAATCTGTAGAAGTGAAATTTACACGTTGAGAAGCAATGACCTGAACAGCTCTTGTCTTGGCTGTTGAAGAATGTTTTTTTTTCTCTTCTTCATACTAATTGTGGCACTCTTTATCTAACATAGAGTTAATCATGTGTGTATAAAGTCAACTGATAGATCTCAGGAAAAAATAAGAGTGGGAATAGGAGAAGAAGGAGGAATTTTGTAACTATAATTCTGCATAGTTCTGCATGTATTCCTACAGACTTACTTCTTAGGGCACAGTTTAAAAACTTGCCATGGAACCCCAAATCTCAAGCTGGGTGGTAAAAAAGCCATCTTTCATGTTAAAATGATCTTATAGACAGCATTAAGTGTTAGAGGGATCATATAAATAAGATCAAGCGTCTGCTAGTAACAGTAGATAGAATTATAAGGATAGAATATTCCACCATGGGAAGCAGTCCACACAGCAGACTCATAGAATGACAGTCACTTTAAGTAGCACTCTGAACTCAGAATCAGCCTTTCAGGCATTCTGTTCTGGCTAAAAAGCCCATAAGAGCATTTCAGGCATGGAAAGCCAAGACACTGTGGCAAAAAAATTCTTAACATGAAGGATCTCTGTGAGAGAGACCCCACTGGAAAGAAGTCGCCATCAAAGACAAATGTACATTTCTCTGAAGGGAGTAGAGAACTTCCACTTTGCTTATGGCCTTGTCTAAATATTAACAGAGATTGTAGATTCAAGATGCTTCCATAGCCTTGGCAGCTCATGTCAGGAGCCTCCAGTGATCAGTGATGTCATACATAAGAGTCTTAATTGTTAAATTAACAATAAGAGTCATGGTACACTTACTTCCCATGCAGGACTTCTATCCTCAGGGAGAATTAACTGTAAAACTTGTTCTCAAACAGTTGTGTGTGTGTGTGTGTGTGTGTGCAAATTGTTTAAGTCTTTACTTAGTATAGAGTTGGTCTTCTATGTATAATGTTAATTATAAATGAATCTTAATGGGGCCAGCACCGTAGCTCACTTGGCTAATCCTCCACCTGTGGCACGGGCATCCCATGTGGGCTCCGGGTTCTAGTCCAGGTTACTCCTCTTCCAGTCCAACTCTCTGCTGTGGCCTGAGAAGGCAGTGGAGGATGGCCCAAGTGCTTGGGTTCCTGCACCTGCATGGGAGACCAGGAAGAAGCACCTGGCTCCTGGCATTGGATCAGTGCAGCACCGGTCATGGTGGCCTCTTGGGGAGTGAACCAATGGAAGGAAGACCTTTCTCTCTGCCTCTATCTCTCACTGTCTATATCTCTACCTGTCAAATAAAAAAAGAATTTTAATGGAGAATGGGACTTGGAATGGGAGAGAGAGGAGGAAATGGGGTGAGAGTGGGGTGGGAGGGTAGGTATGGTGGGAAGAATCACTATATTCCTAAAGTTGTACTTAGGAAATTTGTACTCATTAAATAAAAAGTTTCTTTGGGGAAAAAATAAATAAATAAAAGAAAGAAATGATGTTGCCCATGGTGATAGATTTAGCATCAATGACTGTGAACTCAGAAGACTGAATTCCCTCAACTTCTTTCCTACTTACCTTCCCCAAAAGTAGTGATGGGTTTTGACATTCTCATCTGCTTGAACAATTAATCCAAAAAAAATTTCCTTTATCTAGACAAGTTTAAATTAACCTTGGCCTGATGAATCATTTTCTATTTGGGGGACACACAACATATAAATGATTCATTTTGTCAGGAATCAAGCAAAGGAGTTTGTGGATGGTGATGGAACCCTATTATATCAGGGCATCTCATACTCTTTGGCACCAGGGAGCTGAAGACACAAGAACAAACAACCTACAAAATTCTGTTTTAGATTTTTTTGTTTAAGGAGGCATCTTGCATATTAATTGTGAATATGCACATAATAAAAGGTAGATTGTTCAGCATGGGATCTGAGAAATATTATCTATTTAAAAAAAGAGACTAAAACCCTGATGTTCTCAAAGGATTGATGCTTACCGTGCTAAAAGATTAATCATAATAGAGTTAAAATAGCATTAATTTCTATATTTTATCCTCATTTCAAATTTGTATTAGAACAGAAACAGCAATTAAAAAAAAAGGTTCCAGTGAAAATAAGCAGAATTCAAAATACATATCTATGTATCTGTGCCAATTTTTGTTTTCTGAAGACAGGAAAACTAAAGTTTAAAATTATGAGTTGCACTGCCCATTCATTATAATAATGTTAGTAACCAAAAAATGTTTGGATCTTCTCTCCTAGAAATAAAATTGGTAACAGCTATGGAAATCTCTCTGTCATATTTATCCTTCAATGTTCTGATCAAAAACGATTTCCCTAGTGTGTTTCCACTGTAGTGGCTTTCACAATACTTTTCAGTTAGAGTGCTTAATTTCTTTTCATTGCTCTTCTCAGACAGCCACAGTATCTTGGGATATCCGAACACTGTACTCAACAGTACCTGAAGATGCAGAGCGCAAAGCAGAAAATTTACTGGTGAAAGAGGTAAATACAATGATTCTCATCCTTTAATTTGTAAAATGTTTGCTAACCCAAGGGACTTCTCAATGCATTGTACTATTATTTTCATCTTCCTCTTTTACTGACTAGTTGATGTCTTTCAAACTTCATCAACTCTGGGTGGCTTTCAATCTTCCTGTTATTCTGTTTTCATTATCCAGTGACTGCCCAAGATTTAGATTTTCTTTTCTTTTTACTTAACAAAATTCCCATGTTGAGAAATAGTTGAGTGTGCTTAATAAAAAGATTTAATTTTATTTCACTTTTATGGACTGAGTTGTGGGAATGACCATGTGAGAATTTTAAACTTTCTGTTTTTAGAGCGATGCAACCCTCCATAGGTTTCATATCCATGATTCTACTAACTGCAAATCATAAATATTCAGAAAAAAATGCACCTGTATTGACCATGCATAAGTTTCTTCTTATTATTCCCTAAACAATACATCATAGCAATTATATATACATATATATATGTATAGCATTTATATTGTCTTAGGTAATAAAAGTAATCTAAAGGTCATTTAAAGTATATAGGGGATTACATAGGTTATATGCAAAACTATACCATTTTATACAAGAATATTCAAAAAACTTAATGAAAAAAATTTTTTAAGATTTATTTATTTGAGAGGCAGAGCTACAGAGAGGCAGAGCAGAGGGAGAGAGAGGTCTTCCATCCATTGGTCCACTCCCCAAATGGCTACAATGGTCAGAACTGGGCCATCTGAAACCTGGAGCCACGAGCTGTCTCTGGGTCTCCCATGCGAGTGCAGGGGCGCAAAGATTTGGGCCACCCTCTAGTGCTTTCCCAGGCCAAAGCAGAGAGCTAGATCTGAAGTGGGGCAGCCGGGACTCAAACTGGTACCCATACAGAGCGCTGGCACCAGAGGAAGCAGTTTCACCCACTATACCACAGTACTGGTTCCAATGGTTTTTAAAATATTTATTTTGTTGCAAATAAATTTTAAATCCATGCACAATTTTTTCATAACATACATTTCCATGAACTTTTTTCAAATATCCTTGTAAAATAACTTGAGCATCTGTGGATGTTTCTGTTCATGAGGGGTCCTGGAATCGATCCCCCATGTATACTGAGGACACTGGTATTTAAGTACTAAATAATAAGTGTAAATAGATAATTGTCTAAGCCCTGTGGATAGTTTTGAAAGATTGATAAAAATCTCTGTATAGACCATCTACTTGCCTTGAATGGGCATATCAGAAGCCAGAAGCCTACAGAAATACTTCTTCCTCTGACCAGAAACCAGGCTGCTTCAGGGCAGGGATCTGATCAGCATATCCACCTGCTTAGCCCTGTTTACTAAAAAAATAAATGCAGCTGCTCTTTCCTTTATAGAAAATGCAGTGATATAGCCTAGTCCAGAGTGGATTAAACTGAAAGTAGCGAGTCTAAATGCACCTTTTAATCCTGAGAAAGCGTCACATCCAAATTAGGATTTAATTAAAGCTACTATGACTCCAAAATGTTTTCACAATTCTTAAATGTACTTGACTTATGTGTAGACCTATTAATGCCAATGTAATTTGTCATTTGTTGAATCCAGTTTATTGTCTGCCGTAAATTCATCTCTTTATTTTTTCCAATTCCATTATTGCCTATTTATTTCTACTAATTCACATTGATAGGAAAAAGAAAAGTATGCAGACTCAGATAACATCAGGCTATCTGAGAATCCTGTGTTTACATATACTGATGCAAATAGTGTGAGATATCAGCAGCATTATATTTTGCATGCAGTCGCCTTTGAGGGAATTTTAGTATCTACTAAGGCATCAATATTCTGTACAAAATAAAAATGTAGGCAAATAACTTTCTATACTAGCAGTTGAGAATCACTGAGATTAAGTCTCCAAAAAACCCTACAATGAACATGTGTTAACTAAGGTAGGATTTAAAATTTTAATGGTATTGAATTCCTCATTGGGAACATTTAATCAGGTCTTCACTAAAACATTGCAACTTCTTCAGAAAGAGCTTTAACTTTGTTGTCAGATTTTTTCCCCTGAAGACTGTAAAGTTTTGTTGCAAGTATGAATATAATTTCTAAAATTCTTTTTATTTTCTTATTGTTAATTGCTGATTTTTAATAAAAGTATTTGTTTTCTAATACAAATGACTAAATAACTATCTTACTAAACACTCTTATCCTAATTTCTTATTTTATTTTTAGATGTGTAGGCTTATAATCTGAAAATGAAAATTTTCTCCTTTTCTAATAAGTTAATAAGAATAATATTGTTTATTTTTTTTAGTTCTACTTATTTATTTTATTTGTAAAGCAGAGTTACAGAGAAGCTGAGGCAGAGAGAGAGAAAGAGAGAGAGAGAGAGAGAGAGAGATCTTCCATCCACTGGTTCACTCCCCAAAGCCAGGAGCTAGGAGTTTCTTCCGGGTCTCCCACAGGGGTTCGGGGCCCAAGGACTTGAGCCATCTTCCACTGCTTCCCCAGGCCAGAGCAGAAATCTGGGTTAGAAGTGAAGCAGCCAGGACTCAAACCAGTGCCCATATGGAATGCCAGCACTGCACGCAGTGGCTTTACCCTCTATGCCACAGCACCAACCCCAATGATATTGTTTCTTAAGCTTTTGTTTTACTCTATTATCAAATATTCCCAAAACAATGTTAAAATATGATACTAGTGTCAGACATTCCCTGATATTTTATGAAATATGGTGTTTTAGGCTGGTTTCTTGCATCTGTCTATCGTATTTTAAAAAGTGCTTTTCTTAGTCTTTTCAGGGTGTTTGCAATAATATATAATCAATGCAATACACAACAACTAAAAATAAAATGTTCACATATCTTAATGTAGAGATCCAAGGTTTATTAAGAGAAAAAGGCACCAAATATATAGTATGATATTATTGAGATACAAAACCATTAAATGTACACATAAATATGTTTATATAAGTCTAGAAAAAGTATTGAAGATGCACCATCAAGCTTTGAACATTGGTGGTCTCAAGTTTGGGAGTGCAAGGGAGGGGAGATATTAATTTTAGATTTATATCATTTTTACTTTTATGTTGTTACAAGTGAATTTATTAATTATAATATTTTGGAAAAAATTAGAATATATTTTAAAATGCTGCCAATATGGACACAGCCTAGTACATTGCCTAAACTTATTTCCAAAGGTTAAACTACAATGTCATTAGGTAGTTTATAAGAAATTACTTCAGATTATACTTTCATTATTTTCATCTGGATAATGAAGAAGTCATGGAGCAATCAGAATCTCATGTATGTTTTACTTTGGTAGTCTATCTGCTGTCACTAACAGAAGTCAGCTAAGTTCATCTGACATAGTCCAGTCCTCACTATGTTTAATATAACTACTATGGATTTATAAATGCTTTCATAATTTTAGAAACTTCCTATTTCTTGGTCTTATCATTCATTTTCTGTGTGTGGGGCTTGTGTGTAATTCCAGTTTTCCAGCAATTTCTTTTGGATTGTAGAAAATTGCTCTGACACGAGCCAGGCGTCTTTCTGATATGTTGGGCTTGATGGCCAGCCTCCTTCAGCTCTTGCCTCTTAACACCTTGATTTTATTTCTGAGTATGCTCTCTAGGTAAGGGCCAACCAGCCCGAAGCTAATCCCAGGACTGCTTCAGAACGCCTTCCACCAATTTCTGAATCCAACCAATGTTTCAAGTTCAGCTACTTTCCCAGAGGAAGCTTGTCCTGAGAAGCAAATCTATACAGCACAGGGGACTTCAAAGCACTACTCTAGGGTTTTTAGGGGTTCTTAGTTTTGTTGGATATTCAAGAATCCCTGCACCACAATTTCAGATTGATCCATTTACCTCTACAGTTCTTGGAGAATTGTCATCTTCAACAGAAAACAGTTGACCAAATACTTGGCTTTCCCTTATTATTTCTTCTGGGGAGAAATTTCTCATATTCACTCTTGTTCCCACTTTAATTCCCTTTTATGTACTTGCAACCTCCTTTTCTCACTTCAACTTTCAGCTTCTCGCTTCTCCTAAGAACTTCTCCAAGGAGAAACCAAGAGGAGAGTGCTGCTTACCCTAGGTCCTGGTATCTGCCCAGCTGCAACAATACGAAGCCCGGGACAGAGCATTCAGCTCTCTGCAACAACATCAAGGAATCTTTTCCTGTCATAGTTAAGGACTTAAGGATAGAGACAGTTAGTGGAGAAATCATGGGAAGGAATTATTTTTTACCCTTGCTGATTTTTCAGTATCACTAGCAGTGAAAATCCTGAAAATCTCCCGTGGTTGTGTTTGTTTTTGTAAGGAAGAAGACAAAAGCCTGGTTACAGATAACCCTTAATGACAGGGAGCATAAGTAGTCAGGTCTGGTAAAATAGATGAACAGAAAGGGATCATCTGAGAACTAAGTTAAGGCTAATGAATGACTCCAGAGAACCGTGCTGGCAAAAAGTCTTGGTCACATTTGGCAGTAGCAGCTAACCTTGATTCACTGCTTACTCTATGCTTGAAACCCGTTACTTGATATAATTATGAATCATATTGTATCACTATCACCATCTCCAACTTCTGCTGATAGGAAATTATATCAAAGAAAGAGGAAGAGACTTTCCCAGCCAGCATGATCCAACTAGGAATAGACAGATCCAACATCTGGACAACCTCCACCCAGCCCTAGCCCGTGGGTACTTAACCACAGCACTAAGTGCCAATACATGGCTTTGCTGGAGTAGGATTCTGGAAGGAAGACTTCTCCCAGTCTTCTCCCTCATGGTCTCGTCGCTGTTTTTGTCCAGGTGATTCTGATGCGTCTGATCTATGGGCAGCACTTTAAAATGTTGGCTGGATGGGTGAAACCCATTAAGCCAGCAGTGAAATGATTTCCTTGATGTCTGTAAGGTTTTGTAGACATTGCTGATCTTGCCATGATTGCTGCACTAAGCAACTTTCTGTTCCACCCTGTGCTAAATTGCCCTGTGGCTCCGCACAGGGTGGCCAGG